GGTAATCAGCTTCTCACTTTTGAAGAAATGTTGACTACACTTGCTCAAATTGAAGCATTATTAAATTCGCGACCTCTATCAGTTTTGAGTTCAGATCCATGTGACCCTCAAGCTCTTACTCCTGCACATTTTATAAACTTAACACCATTAAAATCACTACCTTCAGAAACGATAACGGAACATTCTAATCTCATCCAAAGGAAACGTATTGTAGACAGTTTGGTCCAGTCTTTTTGGAAAAGATGGAAACTTGAATATCTTAATACATTACAAGTTCGTAATAAATGGAAAAAAGATAGCACTCCTATTAAAACTGGCACAGTTGTACTGCTTCAATCTGAAAATAGTGCTCCTCTTAATTGGCCATTGGGTATAATAGAGGAAACTTTTCCGGGTCGTGATGGAGTTGTAAGGGTGGTTAACGTTAGAACGAAAACTGGTACTTATCGTAGACCTGTTGTTAAGGTTTATCCTTTACCAACACAGTAGTGGTTCGATATAATTCTACATACATACAGTCCACAAAATCTAATTAAATATAATTAAGTAGTAATTTAATAGTCTAATTGAATAATAAAAGTAATAAGTCTAAGATAATAAGATAATTTATAATGTAGGTTTCATATATTATTATAGTGTTTAACTTTGAAAGAGCTTTACTCTCTCAAACTGGGGGGCATGTTTACGCTATCTGCAATGGATAATTAGCATTGATGTTTTTGAACGTAACTGAGAGCGCATCGATGTAGTCCCGCCCCTTTCCCCTCCTATATCAATGACACTTTTAAATTGAATTTGAATCGTGCGCATCAAAATTGTGCGATCGCGAAAAAGTGGTGAATATTGAGTGCAGCTAAGTAAGTACTTAAAAAACTGAAAGCTTTTCATCAAGAACAAAGAAAGAAGACAGGAGTGGCCACTCCATGAAGATAGTGCTACAAATATTATCACTACAAAGACACAGACTTTCGGTGAGTTCCTAAAAATATTACCTACTACCAAATATCATATCGATTGCGCTCAAAAATATAAAATTAAAAGAACCAAGCCCAAACAGTTATTCTTCTAAAATTGATACAAAAGTACTTCCTTGGACTAATATCTGGGGTACTGAAACTGTTTCAGTGAATAGTAGAAATAAAACGCATACCCTCATCAAAAATCATCTCTGGTTTGGAAGTGGACGGATGTGCTGGCTTCGTTAGCCAGACCGGTTCGCGTGAGTTCAGTGCAAAATTTTATTCTTTCGTTGTAGTTATATCTGTAGCTATATCCGAGGGTCGGAGCACGACACAGCGGATTTTTCTAGTCCATTCTCCTCTATCAGCCGTCATCTCAACATTCACTACTCTCTCTATAACAGTGGTTCCCAAACTTATTTTGTCTACTGCCCACTTTGAGAATAAATTATTTTTTAGCGCCCCCATTTTTTCTACCTACTTTAAAAACCACTATAGCCAGAGCTCAGTCGGTGTCTAAGACTCCTCCTAGATGAAATTACAAATCGCCTCCCAAGCCTCTACACAACGCCCCCTTTTTTCTGGGTTACTATTACCGTCCCCCATTAAGCCTCGAAGTCGAAGCATTCGAAGTCGTCGTGGCCTAACGGATAAGACGTCCGGTGCATTCGTGTTGAGCGATGCAACGGTGTTCGAATCTCAGGCGGGTACCAATTTTTCTAATGAAATACGTACTCAACAAATGTTCACGATTGACTTCCACGGTGAAGGAATAACATCGTGTAATAAAAATGAAACCCGCAAAATTATAATTTGCGTAATTACTGGTGGTAGGACCTCTTGTGAGTCCACACGGGTGGGTATCACCACCCTGCCTATTTCTGCCGTGAAGCAGTAATGCGTTTCGGTTTGAAGGGTGGGGCAGCCGTTGTAATTATACTTGAGACCTTAGAACTTATATCTCAAGGTGGGTGGCGCATTTACGTTGTGGATGTCTATGGGCTCCAGTAACCACTTAACACCAGGTGAGCTGTGAGCTCGTCCACCCATTTAAGCAATAAAAAAAAAAAAAAAAGCCTGCAGCGCCCACAGGGGGGCGTTATCGCCCACTTTGGGAAAGGCTGCTCTATCATATCGTCATTCACACACTACATCTATGTCTTCTTCGGTCGACCTCTCCCTCTCTACCTTGCGCTACCATTTCGATACATTTCCTATTCTCTAGGCATCACATGTCCATAAAATTTTCAAGGAAATATTGTGTCTGTTTTAGAACTCACTATTATGATAAAAACTATTGTTTTATTGTGTAATTATTGTTTCTTTCACTTTACAGAGCAGATTAATACTGAGATGCTTTAAAAAATACGATGTCGTCGGACAACAATTCATTAACAAAATTCATCTGTATCATTACAGAAACGATTCCGAATATGCCATGAAGGTGATTTGATATTAATATTATCTAATTGTATATCGGTATGTTAATTATTGTAGGTATAGAGGTCGATGGTCCTTATCGCACAGCAATAATCTTATTCAATAAGATATAGAAAAGTTTAGAAAAAGCATTTCTGCCTGAAGTGGTCACGGCCTCTCGAGGTCCCTAGGGGTTGAGTGTATTGTGAGCCCGACGCGACTCAAGCGACGGTAATTACTCATCATCAGGTGGGCTGTATATTGTTCTGCCAACAGGGGCAATATTAATAAAATATATCGACCTTAATGCTTAATGGTGTGAGATGCTATTAACGTTATAATACTGCTTCATAACGCACCACGTGAGCAATGACTATTGTGGTTGCGACTTGGACACGGCGGAGCACACGCTCGTCGCCTGCCCCGCATGGGAGGGGTGGCGCCGTGTCCTCGTCGCAAAAATAGAAAACGACTTGTCGTTGCCGAGCGTTGTGGCATCGATGCTCGGTGATGACGAGTCGTGGAAGGCGATGCTCGACTTCTGCGAGTGTACCATCTCGCAGAAGGAGGCGGCGGGGCGCGTGAGAGACGCACAGGCACACCGCCGTCGAGCGGGGTCCAGGGAGGCGGATTTCGCCCAAGCCTTGGCCCTCTAAGTGTTTCGGGTCTCCCTCACATGTCGGCCTGGGGACCGGCGAAGGGGGCCTAAGAATCGTGCAAGCTGCTCTGCACGCGTTTTATGCAAGAGCATCCGGGTGATGGAAGGCCGGCTATCCTCAACCCACGCTGGTTCTGACCCAGCGGGGTATTCCGTAGGATAGACCATTCTAACCGGCGCCATCTAGGCGGGCTTCGGATAGCCTGCCGACCGAGAGGGCTGGTGGTCGTGGCGCCGACGACAGTCAGTCCGGCGTCCCGAGGGGGAGGGTGATGGGAGAGATGTGCTCCGCACTAAGCGCTTCACTTTCCCCCCTTTGCCTTTTCATGAGTTCTGTCTCATGAGAGATTTCGATGCTGGTTGTTGAGCGACAGGAGGTTTTAGTCGATTAGTCGGTTCAACTCCGACATACCCCGCCCTCCATCCCCAGTGGAGGGCAGAAGTCCGGTGATATCAACCTGACATAAAAAAACCTGAGCAGTGAAAAATAATTTACATCACACAAAGTTCATATTATTTGAAATGTTTCAGATTCACACCGTTGTGCACAAGATATCACATAATATGACCTACATATTTTCTTTTTGCATTATCTTCGGTACAGTTACGTTTAACCTGACCCCGATTTTCAACAATATCGGGTCGGATGCATACAAGAATCCTCGACCAGACAACGTGACCTTGCAGCAATGCGTGTATTACGCACTCCCCTTTGACTATACTGGAAATTTCAAGTGGTACTTGCTGGTGGCCATCTTTAACGTACAGAAAACATTTTTCTGCACCTCACTATTTATATTATTTGAATTATCACTGTCCTTGATGATAATATGCTTGTGGGGACATCTCCGGATCTTTATCCACAATTTGAACCACATACCGGCGCCTCGTAACTCCTTCGAGTACACAAAAGAAGAGAGACAAGAAGTGGATGATACGCTGAAGAAGTGCATTCAACACCACACTTTAATAATAGGGTAGGTAGGACAGTATCTTCAGTACTGAGACTACATCTCTAGTTCATGTTCCGATGAGAACATTTTTATGAACGTAGATACTTAGTCATCAAAGGAGAAAAGAAATATTATAAACCACTGATTGCCTTCACATGAGTTTGTTTAATATGATTTTAGATTTGTCCGCATAATGTCTGAGACGTACGGTCTGGCGGTCCTCATCTATTACGCTTTCCAGCAAGTGGTTGGATGCTTGTTGCTGTTGCAATGTTCACAAATGGTAATTGAAGCGTATTTTATAATTTTGGTAAAAAAATCCTCACTAAACGATTTTAAGGTCAGCGCATAACCAGAAGATCTTCAATGAATATGTAAGCTTGAGGGTAGACATTATTTTGTTGAACACCAAGTAACACGAAGTCACCTTTGATTTCTGATTTAATCAACAATATGTTATCTTAACAATTCACTTTAACACTTGTCCAACCTTAACCAGTACGTACAACAGTCACTGAATCACACAACGTAACAAGGATATAGTAAGTGCACCGGGCAAACGCAGTCCAACGAATGTTTATTTCAAGGCACGTTCCGCCTTTTTATACTAGCCGGCGCAGCTGGCTTATGAGTCACTTCTGTTGCAGCTGTTGTTTACGAGTGGAACGACACGGCCGGCGCACCTGGCTTGTGTGAGTCACTCCTATTGCACGTGCTATATAACATAAATATCGTTAACGCCGTCACGGCCATACTGACGTGCGCTCGTCCTCGTGCGCGCATTCTTATGGTATGTCTGTGAACAACAAACGTGTTCGTTCATCCTGACATTAACGGATGCAACTTAAAACGTGGTCTATGATATTAACAATCTAGTACGGTTCGGTTCGCATAATTCTTCAGAAAATCCTATACTGGCTATAAATAACCTTCAGACTGCTTACATACCTGGGCCAGTTCATTTAAAACTCTTCAGGTATGTAAGTATGTCCCTTTTAACTTAGACCGGAATTGTTATCCCTTCAGTTTTTCGAACTGGACCGGATAATGCTAGACCGAATCGCAATCCCTGTAGCTAATTGTTGTGGCTAATCTGGATGAAAATCCCTATAGCCAAGCCATTGGACCGGACAGACCCTTCAATGACTTCACACTTTCTTTTTTTTTTCTCTTTTTTTTTTGCTAGTCCGGATTAACATCTCTCTAGCCACATACAATTCTCTTTTTTTTTCTTTTTTTTTTTTTTTTTTAATCTGCGTGTACGGTAGCGTTTGTTAAAACATTTCTTAAACCAGAACATTTATACGGAATTTCTTCAGAAATAGTGCGAGACCGACCATCGTTTTCTACATTTCCAACACCTGCACCTGAGGTGCCTGAGCTTACAGACATTGTATCACTACCCACAGACTATGTTTGCTGTATCGCTATTTGCGGACAAAAATGTCGCTTCTATTGTCAGTGATAGAGTCGTCATCATTAAGATCAGTTTCATGAACAAGATTAATTAACCCATCTGTGTACGCCGTCACGTCATCGTCACTATAATTTTCAGAAATTTCTAGTAGGCCTGACGGGCCTCGAGGTATTTCACGTAAGTTTTCATGGGGAAATTTGTACACTCTATTAGAACTATTTACATGTCTCAATTTATACCTATCGTTTTCCAAAACTGCAGTAATGTTGAAGGGACCTTTACATTTTCGGTCAACTTACGAAAACAAAATCCCCAGCGGAAAAGAGTTTGACTTTAGCTTTGCCTCGACTAAACCAAGCTTCTGTTTGTGCCCTTTTTTTATGTTTTCGCCGGTCTTCGACCGTGCTAAATCAAGATCTAATCTAGAGGGATTATCACTCTGTTGAAACTTTAGATATTTCAAGTGAACTACCCTGAACGGCAAACGTCTATTCTATTGGAGTAAACCCTGTTACTCGACAACGTGCACTATTAAGGGCGAGTTGAATATCCCCTAAGTGCTCTTGCCATCATGATTGGTCTAAGTTACTTTCAGATCAAAGAGTGACTTGTTCATGAAACCGCTTACCATTGAATAAATTACTATGACTTTGTTTTATAAGACTACATTCTGACCCTGAATGGAACATAAAGGGGAAGCCAAAACCACTTATCTGTAACACACTGAAGCTCTGGAACACACGTTGACGTCTCTGGTTGGACCTGCCACAGCACCTGGAGCAGTGTCGTTTTTCTTCTTGTAGCGCATGGAACACCCAGAAGCTACATGGCTCGCATCACCGCACACGTAACAGCCGACTTGCAGGCGAGAGCCGGGCGCCCACGGATGAGGAGGTTGTTCAGGTTTTGCAGGCTGTATTTTTGTGAGGCAAGTAGCAGCTCGAGCCTTAAGCGAATGTGTGAGAGTCAAAATTAAATCGACACCATCCAATACTTCAACTACTTTAAACGGCCCTTTAAACTTCGTATCTAATTTCGTTTGATTATGCTCTTCGTATTAATGTGTGGACGAGCTCACAGCCCACCTTGTGTTAAGTGGTTACTGGAACCCATAGACATCCACAGCGTAAACGCACCACACACCTTGAGATAGAAGTTCTAAGGTCTCAGTATAGTTACAACCGCTGCCCCACCCTTCAAACCGAAATACACCACTGCTTCACGGCAGAAATAGGCAGGGTGATGGTACCCGTGCGGTCGATGGCACTATACGGAGCACCCGTCTGGTGCCACGTCCTTACCCACGAGAACGTCGCCGCGCTGCGACGCCGGCAGCGCGCGATCGCAGTCAGAGTTATTCAATGATACCTCACAGTCTCCTACGAGGCGGCGCGCCCTAGCGCAAGTGCAGCCGGAGCGCGGGGGCTCCAATATCGGCAGTCCGTGCTGGAGGCGTGATCTCGTCGTTTGGCGGACCCGTCGGCCGGCCTCCGTACCGTCGAGGCGATCTGCCCGGTTCTCGCGGACTGGGTGGGCCGCGACCGCGGAAGTCTCACCTCCGGCTACCTGTGCAGACTCACAAGACATTTTACTACCATGCAAACTTCTTACCGCAACAAATCTTACCAGCCACCACGCAAACTACAATTTTACGGGTTCCACCTCTCTTACACGATGTTACTCCCACACTGAGGAAGCCAACCGCGAACACTTGTCAAGCACGCACAAGCACGCACTTCACCGGAAAAACCTGCATCCGCCAGCGGAACCCGAACACCGCCGCATCGCCAGACACGAACGCACCGGACGTCTTATCTTACAGGTCACGACGACTTCAGATGTGTCAATTTTTCTTCCCCACGGAAACTTGCTTGCTTTCTTGTTTGCTTGCTTGCTGGAGCCCGAAGTCATCGAACGTGTAGTGTTATTGGTATTGAATCGAGTAGATTCTAAAATTTCAGCGACAATTCACAGTCTCATGTCCTGGTTTACTGTACTAGTGCCATGTAACTCTAGCAGTAGTCATTGGCTTAAAAACGATTCGTGTCGGAACTACCCACTCGTCATGACAGATCCATTATTGCGATCGAAGTTTCACTTGAGATTTGCACTTGCCTTAATTTCTTGCAATAGCTTGTTACGTGTTGTATTTCCGTTAGTAAATGCCATGTGATGAAGTCGACAGTCAAACTGGGCAACATGAGCCAGAACGTAAGATGTGACGATTTCTTCGTGGCTCAGATCTTCCATCGAGGTAACAGAGACGTTATTACACGATTTACGTATGCTGCATTCACGCTCTTGTGGCGTACCACTACTAGTATTCTGATCTGCATCATGTTTTTTTTTTGCTGTACTTCGAACATGTTCAAACACGTCACGCCAGTGAGAGTAGAGTCCTGATCTCACTTCTGATGTAAGCTTGAGGGTAGACATTATTTTGTTGAACACCAAGTAACACGAAGTCACCTTTGATTTCTGATTTAATCAACAATATGTTATCTTAACAATTCACTTTAACACTTGTCCAACCTTAACCAGTACGTACAACAGTCACTGAATCACACAACGTAACAAGGATATAGTAAGTGCACCGGGCAAACGCAGTCCAACGAATGTTTATTTCAAGGCACGTTCCGCCTTTTTATACTAGCCGGCGCAGCTGGCTTATGAGTCACTTCTGTTGCAGCTGTTGTTTACGAGTGGAACGACACGGCCGGCGCACCTGGCTTGTGTGAGTCACTCCTATTGCACGTGCTATATAACATAAATATCGTTAACGCCGTCAAATACATATTATATTGGCAGCATTCACACTGTGACTTCGTTTATACATAATACATCTAATGCAGAGAAAAGAAATATTTACAAATTGAAATAAGGTGTGTTATTAAAGGCACACTAAGAAATAGGTTTCTTTTCCATTACACTAGATCTATACTAATATTATAAAGAGGAAAGATTTGTTTGTTTGTTTGTTTCGAATAGGCTCCGAAACTACTGGACAGATTTGAAAAATTCTTTTTCCATTAGAAGCCGACATTGTCCCTGATGAACATAGGCTACTTTTTTTAATTTTTTCTTTTTTTTTTTTTTTGGTTTCATGTGTGTTTTAATGTTTCCGAAGCGAAGCGAGGGCGGGTCGCTAGTATATAATATTTTTAATAATATTATTTGTGTATTTTTAGGAATTGAAAACTGTCACGCGATTTGGATTTTTGACACTGGTTCTAAATCAACAATTAATTCAAATATCGGTCATATTTGAGCTTTTAGGGTATATGGTAAGTTGCTTTTTTCCCTTTGGAGGTAGATGAACTTTCGGCCGATCTGATCATGGCTGTTCACCGTCGCTCACGGACAGTATTATAATTGCCGCAGCTAAACTTTGAGAACTCTTTAACACATTCATTTTGGATGTTGTTACAGATTGTATGATTGAAGGATTGCTGGTGGCCCGGAGGCCTTTCCAGTTTCACCAGGACAGGTGGGTGAGCACGGGCTCAGCCAGGAGGGGTGGGATTTGCTAACAGCTACCCGAGCGCCTCCACGAACGAATCTACTACTGGATCGGAAGCGCGACCCGCTGAGAAGATCCGGCGAGAAACTCAGTCGGCCGATGTTTAGGTTAGGTTGCACGTCGAACTCTTTGCCGAGTTCGACGAGTACGGTTACCGGAGTACCTGAGCCTGCTCCGTGTGTTAGAGCTAACGGCGTCAAATAAAACGATTATTAGATCTGATGGATCCGTAAGGACGTGTCTAAGGCGTCGACGGTGACTGGCTCCTGCGTGATCAGGATTCTGGGAGTATTCAGCGGCGGCAACGATAAGGCGATTATCATGATGCATAGCCTTATCGAAGTACCGTTCCGACGCTGACTTCATGTGTTTCTGGATTGATTCGAGAGGCCCAGGTCGTCTTGTAGGTCAATTTTCCTCACGAATCACGGAGCTCCAACAGCTAACCTGCAAAAGCGGGATTGTAGGGATTGGAGGGTGTCTATGTGTGTGCGGGCTGCGTCAGTCGCGTCACCGCGTAACCTATACAACTGACTCCCTAGAAGGAGCAACATTTGTAAAGTGCGTTTATTCTAGAGTGACAAACTCCAAGATGCAGTGTACTGCGTGCCGTGGGAATACATGGATACATGTCACAGGAAGATGGTGTACATGATGTTCAGACAGTCGCAGATACCATTGCAGTTGAAGGCTATGAACATGTTGAGCATAGGCGTCAAAACTATGGTATCGGTGAGTCTTTCTAGCAAACCGTTTGTCAGACATTTAGTAATGAAGATGCACAGAGAAGTCCTCGTTCCACACGGTACTGGTCGCATGATCACGACGCGACTGTCGCCGCCCTCCTTGAAACATCTGGTCGCAGTTTCATTTGTATGAAGTCGATGTTCTTTGAACGTAAAAATAGGAATCTTGATGTTGCACGTTTATAAAATGTACTTAGTACATATAAGTGTACTCTACCCAACACTAAATATAATACAAATTAGTAAAAACTTCGAGTTTTCGGAAAAAATATATGTATAATACAAAAATAGTAGGTTATGTTATATAAATTATTATTTTTGGAACGAAGTTCCTTATCGCGCGTTGTGAAAGGGGGCTAGACGGAAAAAATTCTTACGAAGAGTTGTCACGACACTTTTTAGATCCGTCATTCTGACCAATCAACGTGTAGGCGCTTATCGCGTGACATTGCTCGTATCCGATTGGTCCGCGTAATGAGTACAGTTTCTCGAGATAGCGTTTCAACAATAGTAATTTAGTTCATAGTATTGTTTTTTTCTTCTTCATAATGCCGTAATTTATTATTATAAGTTTAAAAAAAAATTACAATTCCTTCACTAATTAATCGAAAGGAACTTCGTTCCATCCGGGTGTCCCTTGACACCTCTGAAGTTTTTTTTATAGCTTAGATGGGTGGACGAGCTCACAGTCCACCTGATGTTAAGTGGTTACTGGAGCTCAAAGACATCTACAACTTAAATGCGCCACCCATCTTGAGATTTAAGTTCTAAGATCTCAGTATAGTTACAACAACTGCCTCGACCTTCAAACTGCAACGCATTACTGCTTCACGGCAGAAATAGGCAGGGTGGTGGTACCTACCCGCGCGGACTCACAAGAGGCCTACCACCAGATTGGAATTGGAATTTAGATTGGATCCAAGCATTGGCCAATCGGGTGGTTCAAATATACTCTATTTTCTTTCTCAATCCCTTGTATTGGCTGATGTTGGTCAGAAAAAGCCTACAATATCGCCGAGTGGTACTCGGTTGCTGCGCAATGTACTCGCAGTAAAATAATCAAATCTATTTCCAGATATTGAAGACGTCTGTAACGTACTACCTTATCTTAAAAACAGTTACGACCGACGAAGCTTAAGAACAACAGAAACTACACTACTATAAACAATTTATATTTTAGATACATAAATTAATTATTCTGTAAAATAATGAATTATGTTTTTCACTATTGGAATTTCCTTTAAATGCCAACACGAAAATTCTTAATAAAGATATTCAAACAAACAATTTAGTTAAACATTTTTTATTTATTTATTGCTTAGATGGGTTGATGAGCTCACTGCCCACCTGGTGTTAAGTGGTTACTGGAGCTCATAGACATCTACAACGTAAATGCGCCACCCACCTTGAGATATAAGTTCTAAGGTCTCAAGTATAGTTACAACGGCTGCCCCACCCTTCAAACCGAAACGCATTACTGCTTCACGGCAGAAATAAGCAGAGTGGTGGTACCTACTCGTACGGACTTACAAGAGGTCCTACCACCAGTAAATACGCAAATTATAACAAACAAACATAAAACTACGAGATTGAAACAAAAAAATACACATTGAAACTAAATATCTAATTTGGAATATTTAAATTAATCTGTAAGAAAAATTAAAGCAAATTTTACATCAAATAGAAGTACTTATATTTGTTATAATTAAACATTGATAATGATACTCATTATTTTACCACACTATTATTTATTGTCAACACGAATGTTTCATAGGTTTTGCAATGTTATGTCGTCGCTAAAGTTTTTGAATTTGTAAGTTTAAAAATCAATGTTTTACTGCAATAAGGATGTGTAATAATTTCAATTGTGTTTGGTTAAATAACATTTTTTTTTCAACTTCTACTAATTTAAACTAATTTAAGGTGGTATAAAGGATACCTAATCAAACGGTCTCCACCGTAGTCAGCCTTTACTGACTAGTATGGGATCTGAAACTTTTGGAACGAAGTTCCTTATGGGACGATGCGGAGGGGTACCCTAACCGGGAAAAAACGTCCGTAACGTAAGATTTTTATTAGTGCACACAGTGTACGACTTAACTTTGTAATAACGTACAAAAAATTACATATTTTATTATCATTCATTGACCACGATCTCAGAGCGTTCGTTTGCGCAATACACTAACTCTTATGCAAACAACCGTTAATGAAGTGTACCACAATAAGTTCGCGCGTTACCGAATGACCGTGGGTTGTTGCGAAACCTCCAGTTTTATTTTCTTTATACCGCGAATAGAACTTAAAATTATTATTTTTATAGTAAGGAACTTCGTTCCTATCCGGTGCCCCACGACACCACACATCTTTTTTCTGGGCAAGGAGTGAGGCGCGCCTAGGAGGCACGCGGGGTATGTGGCCAAGGATTACTTAGGGCCCTACCCACCAAACGACAACCCTTGCACTTTCTCACCCGACGTCCGATCTCTGCCAGGATCCCGCCTTCAAAACTACAACCAGACTTGTGGCGCCACCCCTAGGACGCCCGATCGACGGGTCGTCGAGGCGGTAGTTGCCGACTCTACGTCAGCCGTCTCAGTATGGCCGTCCGTCAGGCCACCCTAGGCATTGCCGCGCATGTCCCGGAAAACCCTGCTGGAGCAGACCCAGCCTGCCAGGTCGGAACGCGATACACAACCAATCGGTTGCTCTTACACATCAGTTCTGTAGAGCTGCTTCCATGTTTAGCGCGCTAGAGTGCAGGTAGCGTGCCGCTTAGGTCACCCCGTAACTTTTGCCTGGAGAGAGGTCGCCTTCTACAGGAGTTGGAGCTGAGCAAAAGTCCTTCTCCGGCTCCCGGATCGGCAACGGCGGACCAATGCGGGATGAGCTCTCCGTCTCTCGTTTCACCGCCTCGTTCTGTCAGATGGTGGACTCACGCAAGTCGAGCATCACTTTCCAGGGCTCGTGGCTGCCGAGCATACTAGCCACCACGGTCGGTAGCAACAAGTCCGGCTCTATCTTCGTGACGAGGACGCGGCGCGCAAGCGGCGAGACCGCTTTTCCTCTATGAAGATTGTGGGAACGGGTGACAGGCTATTCACTTAGATCACATCTCATTAGATCATATTAGATATCATCTCAGAGCACCATCCCACGGTTGGTACTCCGAGAATTCACGACTGGCTCAAAAAAGGCCTAAACTCTTTTAGGAAACGCGAAAAAAAAGGCAACCAGACACTATTGCCCGTATCTTTAGACGTTTCGTAAAACAGTCCTCCACTCTAAACTCATCCGATGATGCTCGAATATTCCTCCCAAACTTACTCGAGTTTGGTATTTTTAGTCGACCATTACAATATTCCTCAACTGTCCTCGAGTGAGGTAGAAAGGTGCTATTGCGTCACCTGACAACATCAGTTTGAGGAAAATTTGATCAAGCTAGCATCAAACCTACAGAGTTCTGTAGTTTATGGTCATTGTTTAATGTCAAAGTCAAGCTACCACTGTCTGTCTGTATAACACTAGACCAATGAAGTAGGAAACCTATGGAAATGAAACGTCAACCAAAATTTCGTGCCACTGTGACGTCATCTGGCCACAAAACATGGCGGCTTTAGTGCTGTACAAAAGATTTCAATGTTATCAGGTTTTATCGATAAACGTTCTTGGCTCATTTTATTTTAAATATTGTTGAGTATTATTTATTTGTAGAATTTATACTTTAATGGGAAGTAAGTAGGTATATTGTTATGTGCAAATATGATATGATTTAGATGGGTGAAATCTAAGACAAGTTCGTCCTTCGAATTTGCCAAGTAAACGATATGATGATTTTTAAAAGTTGCTACACTGATTTTATAAAGTTGTCGTTTGTCGCAAAACATAAAGATATGGCGTAGT